AAACCGGATATTGACTAATTTGAAGCTTATGTTGAACTTTGGAAATAAACACGGCTAGTTAGCTTATTGAAATGCTGCGTTATAGTTAAGATTCTTTTGTGGTTCCCTTTTGTTTAAAGCTTTCGAATTTGTTTTAATTTTTCCACTCAAGAACACAAACAAAGATCGCAACTAATATCAATTTATAGATAAACTAGCGACCCGCCCTCGCTTCGCTTCGGAAACATTAAAACACACAGGAAACAAAAAAAAAAAAAAAAGTGGCCTATGTTCATCAGGGACAATGTCGGCTTCTAATGGAAAAATAATTTTTCAAATCGGTCCAGTAGTTTCGGAGCCTATTCGAAACAAACAAACAAACAAATCTTTCCTCTTTATAATATTAGTTTATAGATAAATAAATTATTATTTAGAAGGAATAAAATATATAAAAAATATACAGTACATATCTATACCATAATATTTTTAATACCTAACTTATTCGGCATTACACTGCTGACGACAATGACCAATCGACATTCAGCCATTCACAACTGCATTAAAAAAAAGAAAATCACGCCTCGCGTCGTGAGCCTCTTGAGATCGATTCACCAACACTACATGTAGAAAAAGGGTGTATTTAATATAAATAACAAATCGACACGTCGTAAAGGAAGTGTGCCCTAAATAACACAAGAGTTAAGAGGCCGACGTTCCCTCGGCATGAATAAATTTACTCTTCGGACCGCCTGACAGGGTTGCTAAAAACTGTAATGATCATTCGGAATAGTCTCTTAATAACGAATTAATAACATTGATACTACCTTCAAACAATATCAAAGGTCGTATTGTGAGCGCTCACAGGTGAGGGCTATTTTCTGTTTCTGCCGTGAAGAAGTCAAATAGTCGGGCGTTCCATTTTGAACGGTGGAACTTTCACTCAATTAGATTGAGTTTTCGTTATCAGTATGCTTAGTGCGAGTTCTTTAACGTTGTCGATAGCGTAAAAGTTAGCCAAATTTTGTATGCAGTTGGAACAGCGCCCCTAGCGGTAAACGTAGGCAAACGATCCCATTCCATACAAACATGAGCTAACTTTTACGTTATCGAGAACGTTAAAAAACTCGCACTAAGCACACGGGCCTCGAGATGCGTGTTGGCATTTATAAATAAGTATATATTTACTTTATAATATTTAGGGACTCTGGCAGGTTTTTCTGCTAGAAATATAATAATCTCTTCATCAGAGTAGCTTTTTTTCGGTTCTCAAATTTATTTTATGTAAAATTGTTCTAAAGCTATAAAGTGGGCTGGAAAAGAGCATGGATAGTACAGTATAAAATGTGCACCTAAAATTAGCTCCATCTGACTGCTGTTACTACGTAAAACACAGTATTGGATTATGGATTCACTAAATAGCGTCCTGCAACGGTACATAGATAAAACTGTGTGGAAAAAATTACGTATCCGATAATCACTTTTTTTTTCTTTCTAAAACAATTTTAGAAAATAAGTAAACAAAGATCTTTAAGCTCACAGCCCACCTGGTGTTAAGTGGTTACTGAAGCCCATAGACATCTACGACGTAAATGCGCCATCCACCTTGAGATATAAGTCACAACGGCTGCCCCACCCTTCAAACCGAAACGCATTACTGCTTCACGGCAGAAATAGGCAGGGTGGTGGTACCTACCCGCGCGGACTCACAAGAGGTCCTACCACCAGTAACGTATGTACGTATTTAAATGTATTTAATGAAACGAACGACGCCCTCAATTATAGGATTTATAGGATTGTAGAATTTAAGGTATCCAAGGAATTCTGAAGCTGACCATACGTGAGCGGTAATCAATTGTAATAATGTTGTCTGATTTGATTTCAGTTAACCTTAAAAAGTAATAAAAAAGAGGAAAAGTATAGGTAGTAACTTAATACATACTATCGATTTAGTTTGTGTTATATTGTAAGTAGTTGAACAAATAAAAATTAACTTTCATAAACAACATTTGCTCTGTTATAACGTCTATTGTCTATAGCCTATTGGGACTGTTTGGTAAAGTTACATTACAAACTTAGAGTTTGTACACTGGCAATCCTCGAAACCGGAATCATTCGATAACCAACGACGCCTATGCTTTATAGCCCATGACATCCGTAGCCCGATTTATTATCACACTATCTTTTAAAAAAAAAGATAAGCATTGAAGTAGTCCAAAAATATATATTTTAATTTCGTTGTTCGGCAATCCAATACAGTGTTTGCATAATTTTGTTCCATTTATTTAAGCTGACAGACGTATCTTAAGCATTTATTACATATTACTTATGTAATAGTAGTAATCAGTATTTTATAATATCGTAACAATACCATACTTACCATGATGTAAATAGATGCTTATGTGCTTACTCATTCATTTCAATTATTTTGTGAAAAATAATAAGAAATTATATTTATTTTATGCGAAGTTTAAACAGAATATTAGGCCGAGGTTTTCTTGAAAAAAAAAATGTTATTAACTAATTACTTGTTGTATGAATAATATAACATTTCAATTACGACTATATTGCTCTCGAACAGAAGTATTTATAACCAAATGACTTTTGCGGTTTCGCTATGACGCGATGACGTCTAGACAGAGGTAAATCGATCTTATTAAATTATGTCTACCCGTAATTGAGACATAGATTATGTAATTGAACCGACTGAGTTGTAACCTGAGATTATTTGAGTTCATTATTTTTAATCTATATCGTTACGTTTTCGTCATTTGTCATGAGGACTTTTTGGCGGGAACGCGAGGAGTGAAGTTGTGTGATTTGTTTTATTTTGTCTATTTAGTGTTTCTTCAGGCTTAAATGTGTAATAACAGTAATTTATTATGTTTAATATCTGTGAAAGTGCACAAATGTGGGAAAACGAAACAAAGCCGCTGGACGAAACTTCTCGGGATCCTCCAAAAGTCCACTGAAAAAATCTCAGTAAATGACCACCATTTTACTGAGATTACATTTCATCCCAAATCATCTTGTCTCATTTCATTTAATTTCATCCCAGTTGATTAATTTTTCAAATTAATCATCATTTCATTTCATCTTATTTCATCTCATTACATTTCACCCCATATTATCATTTTTCATAAAAATATGTATATAAATTAAACATAAAATTAGACATAACTTAAAGGTCTTAAAAGGTAACCAGGTCATAAAATCCCTTAAAAAAATATCATTTGTCATTAAAAAAAGAAAACAATGGAATCTTTGAAACTAATTTGTGCCAAGAGTTTCCAATAGACTTTACTATAAATTTAATTATAACCCTGGTATGTACTAAACCTCAATATTTTATTATTTTATATTCTACACACGAAAATATCTTGAAGTACGGTTTCGATATACTTAATATTACATTTAATTACTGGTTCTTATTTGAATGAGCACGATCCCTATTTCGGGATGTACCCTCCAATTATCTAAATCACATATTAGGAACGCACTATATTCTGAGCAATGACTCACTGCGAGAAAGTCTGTTACATGGCTGAATATGCGACAGATTTATCGTGGTTTTGCTAGTGATGCCATGATTTATCGATACACTCGCATGCAAGATTTCGATACGACAAAAGTTTTGAAATGTTTTTTTTAAATCCTTCCTTATTTAAATTGATTAATTGAGCAGCATAGCCATAGTCTTTTTGGTTTAAATCAGACATTATCGTATTTCCTGAACGAATTTGGATGAAATTTTGCATTAAAATGTTTTTATCCTAGAAACACTCTCAACAACTCTTTGACGACTTTTTTTTTTTTCATAAAAAAATATCTTCAGTCTGTTTACGCGAATATAAAAAAATTGTAAACGTCGTCTTCGGGTATCTCAGGTTCATCAATTCAGGTTGCGGTTTTAAGAATTTTAACTTATCGATTCAAGGACAGTCAGCAATGCCAGATGTATTAAATTATCGAAATATAATATGACTATCGAAATACAATAGACGATAAGTCAAAATCATTTTAATACTTATGATTGATAAGTATGATTAATGAGAGATAATACACTTACTAATTTAATTGATCGTCATGTCTTCGCTCCGTCTAAGAAAATTAATGAAAAAAAGTTGAGCGGCCCAAATATGTAGTACTCGATCGTAAAGTTTCCTAAATCCTATAATGTTTATTAACGTAATTACAAAATTAGTTCGAAACATTCAAATTAAAAAAAAAAAGTTCTAAATAGTAACTAAATTATTAACTCGAATACGTTTTGATTCGATTTAAATATCGATATGATGCTGAAACTATTCACCTGCAAGCGAGACGTGCGGAGGGTGTAGATTCGGCGACGCTCTGTCGGGCAGGTTACGATTTACACTCGACGAACTCAGCAGAAACTAACTCTACTAGCGACGAGAAACGCTGATAATCCACATACACGAGTTTCTACGCGAGAATTAAGTCGAGATTACTATGATACAGTCGAATGAGATAGTTTTATTGTTCGTCATTTAATAGGTTGTAAATTGACGGGCGATACACTGGAGCGGGATTTATGTTTTTCAATTCTGATGGCGATTTATAATGAGACTAACTTTATTGTGCATTATTTACGACAGGACCAAATTATTTGAGCTTAACAAGTTATTTCATTGCGAAAAACATGCTATAATTTAATTGAATCTTAATATTATAAGTTTAGATTTAACTAGCGACCCGCCCTCGCTTCGCTTCGGAAACTGTCATTTATTATTGATTTCTCCACTATTTAATGGATGTTATTATACATATAAACCTTCCTCTACAATCACCCTATCTAATAAAGAAACAACCGCATCAAAATCCGTTGCGTAGTTTTAAAGATTTAAGCATACATAGGGATATAGGGACAGAGAAAGCGACATTGTTTTATACTATGTAGTGATGATGAGATGAGCCTAATTTACTATGAAATTGTACAAAAATAGAATAGGTCGTGAGTTACATTTGTAATAAGTAAATAAAATAGCCGTTTTTTTTTACAGAATCCCGTAAGCTCATCTCTGAAGTCTGCTGCAATTCATGGAATATCATTGAAGACTCCCCGAAGGATAGTCAACCCAGTTGCGCTGAAAGGGAAATGTAATGAATTCCAAAACGTATATTTCGCCAAATGACGTACACAAGTTGGCGATCGGACATAACGATTCATCACAAACTCGAACCATTGTCGAGACCAGTTAATTATGGAGACTGAACAGTGTTCTAACTTTTACTCGAAGAAAACGTTTGACGAACTAAAGTGAAAAAGTGAAACGATATTTGTGCCCTTTCTATTTGGGAGATTGCCAAGAGAACTAACTTCCTTTAGTTTAATACCATGCTTCGCGGTCCTCAAATATTGTAATGAGCGTTCTGTTAATTAGTAGGCACATGACTGACTTCGAATATTCCGACCGATTTGAATGGAATTCGTCTGTATAATCGATGTATTGTGCTAAGGTCTCTTGCGCTTTCGCCATGAGCCAATTTTTACTTTGTCGTCATCATCGTTAGCTTTATATCTGTGTTCATAAAATCTAAAATTAAAAAAATTATGCACACACGTAACATCGTATGAATTATTTTAAATGAAAACTGAAGTGAACAACATAAAGTGTTCATTACAACAAATATACAATGATAGTTGGTTGTGCGATTTTCGTCGAGTTATTTTACTGGACAAACAAATAAAGATTTTATTTATGAATACGCGAATGTAATTGTAAAGCGCTTTTGAATAGTTTTCTATTTAAAAAAAAAAACATTTCACCTCATTTAAAAATCAATTTGTAGTTTTTTTATAGTAATGCCATAATTAATTTTAAGGATAGTGTTTTACAGCCATTAATACACCAAAAATCACTCATTTTGCTAGCTCTACGATTTATTGGCGTGAATTTTTAAAGTAAACAGTATAAAGGTACATGTTTCTTGTGTATCTGTTATCTCAGAGATAACAGTTTAGAGTTCTGCTCAAGAACACATGCATTGTAATAAATTGAAGTAATGATTTATCACAAAAACTATTAATGTTAAAAATTTAAAAAAATATTCCCACATTGAATGTCGACAAATATTATAACAGTTAACGCACAAACAATATCATAGTCAGATATCTAGTCTCAGATATAATGTTTTCACTAAGCAACATTTTGTGAATTAAGTAAAATGACGTACAGAATTTCTAAGGCTCGCCGCCTCTTAAGCTGTAAACTAGCGTGTTATGTTTCTGTGAAATACCTCAGTGGACTGTTTGTGATAGATTTAGCCGATAAGTGTTCAATTAGTACGTGTATCATATAAGTCAATTCATGTACTTTTTGACGTCCATATAAGAACGTGTTTTTAAAAAAGTTTCGTTAGCAAACTTTGTTTCATTAAAACGACTATATTGTTTCACTGCTTTATACATTCGTTACGTATATTTGCAGCTGATGATTGGTGCTATAGATACTGTTGTAATAGCGCATTTTACAAATTAATTTTAAGATATCGAGAAACGCGTTTAATATTATAATGTTGGTACAAATTCGGAAATGATGCTTGATATAAAAATTATTCGTACTTCGTGAGTAAGTTAGTGATGAATGTTTTTTAGAGGTATGTATCACGATTTATTTGCTATAAATATGTAAATAGTTTCATTTCTTTTTAATTTTATTTGTGACCTAGTCACTCAATATCTTTGGATGTTCGACATCGTTCGTGAAATAGGTGATGGATGTATAGTAAAGTTTTGCCAAATATAAATACGTAAATATATTTGAGAAATAGAAATCGAAATTAACTCGTTAGTCGTAATGAGTGTGTTAGGCAAATGATATAATCTTTTCGAAGGTATCTCATGATTAGGTAAGTATTTTAGATAGTGCGTACTGGTTGTTCAATTATTAAATTATACAGCGTGATGTTTTTTATTGCATCAATGTTTAATGTCAATTAATAATGGGAATTCGTTTTACACCGATCGCGCAAACTACATCCATGCGAATGCGTTATCATCTTGTTTAATTTCAATGTTTTCAAGTTCCAAACCGATCAAAGTATTTATGAACTTAACCAAAAGTCAACTTTATTAATATTTTATGACTCTGTTCAATTTTACTGGTGGTAGGGCCTCTTGTGAGTCCGCGCGGGTAGGTACCACCACCCTGCCTATTTCTGCCGTGAAGCAGTAATGCGTTTCGGTTTGAAGGGTAGGGCAGCCGTTGTAACTATACTTGAGACCTTAGAACTTATATCTCAAGGTGGGTGGCGCATTGACGTTGTAGATGTCTATGGGCTCCAGTAACCACTTAAAACCAGGTGGGCTGTGAGCTCGTCCACCCATCTAAGCTATAAATAAATAAATAAAAATTGAGCTAATTGTTAATACGGTTATTTAACATTTCTCCGTATCAACACCGAATTAACTATGACCTTTTGGCGAACACCGAATTAACTATGATTGGCGGTATTGAAACAAAATTTTTTGTTCCTGTCTATTTGCTGGTAACCTTGAGGGGTTATGGTAGCTTCACGGTGAGCTCAATGCTGAGCCCAGCATGGAATAAACAAAACCATGTGTTAAGCTGCTTTCAGACTACGCTATACTATAGTGCCATGTATTATAGTATAGCGTATAGAGTATAGCGTCTACTTAACCAATAATATATAGTACAGTACGGTGTATGTACGTGTCCATAACAATGTATGGAGCGCGATGTTGTTGTGCTATGAGCTATATGCTATTATATTATGGCGTAGTCTGAAAGCAGGTTTACAAATCGAACACCATCATAGAATTTCGACATGGACCGGTATAAGAACTTGAAAATATTTTCAATCTCACGAATTCGTATTAGAACCAGACTTTTGAACAGTTTAAATTTAATAAATCCAAATCGAATTTTGGCGAGAACAACAGACTACAGGACATAAAATAAAATCATTAAATTCAACATCTTAATTACAAAATTTTATGTAGATATATTTATTACTTTGTTAAAATGAACTTAAATTGATGATTTACTAAATGAATAAAGAAACCTGCAAAACAATTTCCACTGTTTATTTTGTTACGAGAGTTGTAACTTGCGTTATATAGATGGTAATATATTTTAAAATAATATGTGGTTATTGCATTATAGTAAAACAAATAAGTAGATAATAAATACGTTTGTATTCATTGGAATCCAACCGATTTGTAAATTATTTTGTACAATGTTGAAAATCTGAGTGCGATAGTACATCATTAGTTTAGATGTTATGATAATTTTGTTGATTTTTCAGTTGCTTATTTTTTATTTGTAAAAGTAATTCACGAAAGAGTAAACGTGAAATTTTAGATAATTTTAATTAGTAAAATTATGTGTTTCAATGTAAATATATATAGACGAAAACATGTATGTAGAAATACATAAATATTATTTATGTATTAAATTTGATATTGTTTTCAAAATTTAATTGATTGTTTTATTTCAATTCAATTTCCTTCTAATTACATAATATGATAACAAATACCCAAAGAAAGATATATCCACGGTTATCAATTAATGAAAATTCAAATTATTTTAACACATTCCAAGATTGACACTGGTTTGTTTACTTTTTTCTGTACTGGGTTAATTTTTTTATTTATTGCTTAGATGGGTGGACGAGCTCACAGCCCACCTGGTGTTAAGTGGTTACTGGAGCCCATAGACATCTACAACGTAAATGCGCCACCCACCTTGAGATAAGTTCTAAGGTCTCAGTATAGTTACAACGGCTGCCCCACCTTTCAAACCGAAACGCATTACTGCTTCACGGCTGAAATAGGCAGGGTGGNATTTTTTTATTTATTGCTTAGATGGGTGGACGAGCTCACAGCCCACCTGGTGTTAAGTGGTTACTGGAGCCCATAGACATCTACAACGTAAATGCGCCACCCACCTTGAGATAAGTTCTAAGGTCTCAGTATAGTTACAACGGCTGCCCCACCTTTCAAACCGAAACGCATTACTGCTTCACGGCTGAAATAGGCAGGGTGGTGGTGCCTACCCGCGCGGACTCACAAGACGTCCTACCACCAGTACCACTAATTGAGAAACCCTATAGGGATGTAATCGTTGCAAAGTACAATGATACACTGTCTTAATTAGGAAAGAGTAACGTATTCTACAAGTCTTTTTTATTATAGACAAATCGATAATTTTATAATATAACAAATCAAAACAATTTAACATAAATCAACTCAAACAGTAGAACAAATCTTCCAATGCGCTTGAAGGAGGAACAGTTGCCAAGATAACGTATTCTATTATACGACTTTATACAATGAATAGATAAAATAAAGATACGACGCTTAATATTTGATACTTTAACACTAAAAGTCCTCTTTAACACTAAAAGTCCTCTTTAACACTAAAAGTCCTCTTTAACACTAAAAGTCCTCTTTAACACTAAAAGTCCTCTTTAACACTAAAAGTCCTCTTTAACACTAAAAGTCCTCTTTAACACTAAAAGTCCTCTTTAACACTAAAAGACTCTTTGTTTATTGTCAAACTTTTGTTATTGCTTAAAGTGGTCAAATTGAGAATAGGTTAATATTGTTTATTTTTATTAATATTTGTCTATTGTGTAGTCTTGGCTAAATCTGTGACAATAGAACCATAATATTGTTTAAACATAAAATTTCAATTGATTAAAGTCGAATTTCGATTTCTGCGGAACCACTATTTTTATTTTATTTATTGCTTTGATGGGTGGACGAGCTCACAGCCCACCTGGTGTTAAGTGGTTACTGGAGCCCATAGACATCTAAAACGTAAATGCGCCACCCACCTTATGATATAAGTTCTAAGGTCTCAAGTATAGTTACAACGGCTGCCCCCTTTAAGCCGAAACGCATTACTGATTCACGGTAGAAATAGGCAGGGTAGTGGTACCTACCCGAGCAGACCCACAAGAGGTCCTACCACCAGTACGAGTAATGAGATAAGAAATAATATATAATACTATTCTAATACCTAATGCTTGGCAATAGATACAATATTTTTAATCACCTTCTAATAGATAGGTAGATATGAAAAACAAACAGAAGTTTATAAGTAATATGACAATGTAGTTTGTTATGCGCCACGATATATCCGTTATTAGTTCCAAGAGGCAGTTTTATTCTGAAACTTTTCGAATATTTAACGGTATGTAATACAGATTTTTTTATTGCGCCTTTAAGTTTTTACGACATCGAAGCCTACCGATACCTAAAGATTTTTATGACTCTTTTAGTGGTACGAAAGTCATTGGTTTATAACATCATCGAGTATTTATATAAAAGTTATGAATTTCATTGTAACCTCGGACGGAAATGAGAATAGTTACGGAGTAGTGTCGCTATTGAAGTTTATTTTATTACCAAGAAAACCCAAGTTTTTATTTCATCTGCTCCCATAATATTAAAGATGGCGGGAATTTCGAAAGAAGTCACATTAAATTTTGTTTTGTCGAAAACCTTTTTTTGTTACTGGCGTAGCTTATATAGGCAGGCCGTTTCGGCTAGTTTTGAACTATTACTGGAGAACATAGCTGCTCCCTCAAACGTTGAGTACGCAAGGTGAGTCATCAGTATGGTCCTGACAATGCGGTCCTCCAGCATGCGTGTCAGTCACGCAGCATAGTAGAGATAACAGAGTACAGACGTGAGCAAGTAATTACACAATACCTGGATACCGGAGATTTAGACTTTTTCCAAAAAAATAACTTTTGTGCAAAGTGAATAGAATAGTGACGTTTTTATGTATCTTGTCAAAATTGACAACGTCGCATAAAATCGAAGAAACTAGTCAAAAGATATTATAAATTTCCTAAAATGCTTAGAGCAACAATTTTAAGAGCGAGAAAAACCTTTACTGCAAATACGTTAAGGGTTAAAATATGCTTAAATAAGAGACAATATTCGTCAAAGCCTGGTGAGTACGGTCAAAAATTGTCTTACATTGAGTATTCGTCTCAAAGCGCTGAAACTATTTTAACAAGCATATTAATTACAATACTGGAGGTAAGACCTCTTGTGATTACTGGTGGTAGGGCCTCTTGTGAGTCCGCGCGGGTAGGTACCATCACCCTGCCTATTTCTGCCGTGAAGCAGTAATGCGCTTAGGTTTAAAGGGTGGGGCAGCCGTTATAATTATATTTGAGAACTTAGAACTTATATCTCAAGGTGGGCGGCGCATTTACGTTGTAGATGTCCATGGGCTCCAGTAACCACTTAACAGCAGACGGGCTGTGAGCTCGTCCACCTATCTAAGCAATAAAAACATTTTTTTGACCCAATTAAACGTTTTAATGAGTATGAGTACTTTTCCAATTTTTTTTTAACTTAAACAGCATGCAATTTACAATTTACGTTATTAATTTCGAACACATTAGGCAATTATGCGTAAAACAAAAACTTTGTATACATAACAAAACAAAATAAAAGATAACCCCTTTTTGGAACCCCCATTTGGAAGTAGCGTCTGCAAAATCTCTTACTAAAATCAGTTTATTAAATCGGCCCCACACTCCCAGAGCTTTATTACCAAAACATATAAAATAAGTTTTAGCGGTTTATATTATTACGAACTCAAAGCTTGCTTGATGTTGCTGACTTTTTTATTTTTTTCTACCTATTCTCTGGTAATTTAAGGGCTATTCCAGCTTTGCTATGGTTGGTAAGTAAGTTCACGGGCTCAACCTGAGAGAATTTGCTAACACTGGCCCTACCGAGAGTAATCTTCGCTAAACCTACCACCGGATCGGAATCGCGACCCACTGAGACGATCCAGCGTTTATTGCTTTGCTGGGTGGATGAGCTCACGGCCCACCTGGTGTTAAGTGGTTACCGGAGCCCATAGACATCTACAACGTAAATGCCGCAACTCACCTTGAGACATGAGTTGTAAGGTCTCACTTTTAACAGTACATCTTCAGACATTTTGCCGAGGCCCATAGATATTGCAACGTGAATGCCATTATCTACCTTCAGAAGTGATGAAATCTAAATCTCAAACTGTATAATGTAAGCATTCATTTTGAAGAGTATTTTATAGAACTTGTTACAATAAAATTTAGCATTTCGATAGATTCTTCTTCTTCTTCTTCTCTGTCGTTTCCTCATTACTGAGGGTCGTGACCACCTTGGTCCAGTTTTTGCACCAGCTTCCTCCAATGCTGCCTGCATTCGGCCTGCTTAATGGCGCCCGGGACGCTGGTGTTTGTGGCCTCCTTGATAATGTCCGTCCACCTGGTTGGCAATCTTCCTCGACTTCTCTTTCCTTCCACGTNTGTCGTTTCCTCATTACTGAGGGTCGTGACCACCTTGGTCCAGTTTTTGCACCAGCTTCCTCCAATGCTGCCTGCATTCGGCCTGCTTAATGGCGCCCGGGACGCTGGTGTTTGTGGCCTCCTTGATAATGTCCGTCCACCTGGTTGGCAATCTTCCTCGACTTCTCTTTCCTTCCACGTGACCTACAACTATTAATTTTTCCAAGCTCTCAGGATTTTGTCGGGCCACGTGTCCGAAGTACTTGAGGAGACGCTGCATACAGATTGTAGATAGACGGGTCTTGACGTTTAGCTCCTCGAGAATTGACACATTTGTTCGGCGCTCCGTCCATGATACGCCCAACATTTTGCGCCAACACCACATTTCAAATGCGTCAATTCTCGATTACTTAGTTTTTATTAACACAATAATGGCCCTTTCTGCCTTAAGAAATTGCAATTGGTATGCTATTTCTTTTGTGATGTTTCCTCTTTAATTGTCTAAAAAATCAATAAACAGATCGATGTGACGCCCATATGAATGAGCTTCCAGTACCATGTGGACCATGGGAGCCGTGGTACAAAGACATGCAAAGCTATTATAACAAGGTTCTGGTGATTGGCGTTGCTTGGTAAAAGAAATTTATGTACATTTGAAATGAGATATTTAAGATTAAGACGTTTTGTTATCCTATAAATACGTGTGGTTGGCCCTTGAAGATGCATTTAAAAAAAAAAATTACTTAGACTTATTTTGGTTGGACTGTTTTAAAAATAGCAACTCCTTAGAGCCCTAGTGATTTATACTTTATTTTAATTTATTATATCTAGACTTTTATTCATAAGAAACTAGAATAAACTTACTTAAGTCTTGTCAAATTCCTCCTAATAGGTACGTCGAAATGATACTTCTTGCCGGTAGTGTTCGAACGTCTAATGGCTTGGAGTAAACCATATGAACTACCTAATATATTATAATACGTTCAGTTAAGAGGTGGCTTATCGAAATCTTGATTCTGCTGAAAGCATTTGATAGCATTGAGTTCTATTCGTATGCTCAAGATGAATGTTAAGTTTTTGCTCCTCGTTGTCAAATAGCGTAATCAGCAAATTGCGTAGTAAATATTTTTCGATATTATTCTGTAGCGAAGTTCAAACGAAAATTGCGGTTTTCACAATCTCCACAGGTTTGCTTTCTCATTCGGCATGATGATATACACGGAAAGTTTGTACTTAAATTTCTCGCCACCAGCCCAACCCGGTCCACCAAGCGACATGGTTGAAGAATGTGAGGATATTGAACCATGAATGAGATATTGGTTATGTTAAATAAAGACAATTTTAAAGTACAAGTTGTTTTATTTTTAGACTAATCGATCTGGTTTTTTTACTGAAGAAAACTTGAAGCAGGCAGACTGCTTCGAACTTTTAAGACATCGCAGCGTGGACATCTGGCCTACTGGTGGTAGGACCTAACTGTACTGTAACTATACCTGAGACCTTAGAACTTATGTCTCAAGGTGGGTGGCGCATTTACGTTGTGGATATCTATGGGCTCCAGTAACCACTTAACACCAGGTGGGCTGTGAGCTCGTCCACCCATCTAAGCAATAAAAAAGGACCTCTTGTGAGTCCGCGCGGGTAGGTAGCACCATCCTGCCTATCTCTACCATGTAGCAGTAATGCGTTTCGGTTTGAAGGGTGGGGCAACCGTTGTAACTATACTGAGACCTTAGAACTTATATCTCAAGGTAGGTGGCGCATTTACGTCGTAGACGTTGATGTCTATGGGCTCCAGTAACCACTTAACACCAGGTGGACTGTGAGCTCGTCCACCCACCTAAGCAATAAAAAAAAATCGCCTAGAAACACAACTATAAGGTCGCGGTAGAAATAGGCAGAATAGTGGTTATTATCACGGGACCGACACGAATCCAGCAGCTAAGGAATTTTCGTTTATAAATCGGCTGTAGCCGACTTAACCTAATAGGTGTATGGCTTTAATATATATATGTCGTGGATAACGACTTTTAGTTGTCGTGGATAACGACTTTTAGTAATATTAAGACGGTGGTTTTGATTATTATTTTAAATGATGAAATGTTGTTTTGATAAATATCACAAAATGAAGGGTAGACTCCGTAACGCCACAGTATAAAATGGCGGTACGTGGACAGAGTCGTGGCATTCCGTGTCAGACAGTNTGTATGCCTACGGGTGTTTTGTGCTAGTTTGCGAACGAATATCTGTCCTGAGATTTATGTGTGGGTGTTTTTGTTGTGTGCGAAATACTTGTAATCACAATGTGTGTATGTGTAGAAATTAAAATAGTGGGGATGAAGCGGCGACACTGGTTCTAATACAAAATTAGAGCAAAGGCCTTTCCAACCTTATTTATCTATTCCGTGGTTTACCCTGTCATTGTGAAAGTTGTGTGTGTTGAGTTTCAATAAATATTATTGAAAAGTTTTATTGACTAAACTGAGTTCAATCGAATACGAGCGATGACGGAACCTACCGCTCAGCCATCCCTGACGTCTGCCGACATATATATATATATATAAAAATGGATTGCTGTTCGTTAGTCTCGCTAAAACTCGAGAACGGCTGGACCGATTTGGCTAATTTTGGTCTTGGTTTAAAAGGTAGATAAATATGAAAATGCTCGGAATTAAATAAAAATAACAATTTTGTTTTCCCTTTGATGTGTCCCCCGTCGGACGGATTCCTTTTGTTTTTAGGTCTTTTGTTTATCGATTGAGGCACTACGAAGTCTACCGGGCCAGCTAGTAAAGAATAAAAAGAAAAAAGAAACGGCTGTCTCGACTTGTATTGAATTGATCTACATATTCTCTTACGCTACTGTGCCTCGTGCTCTGAGACATTTTAATACTGTTATCAATACTTCTCAGTGGGTCGCGTTTCCGATCCGGTGGTAGATTCTGCGAAGCACGGCTCTTGCTAGGGTTCGTGCTAGCAACGTTGTCAGGTTTGAGCCCCGTGAGCTCACCTACTAGTTAAGGTTCCTCTGAAATAGCCTCTCAAGGCTATCAGCTTCGGTAGGATTAATTTTGTAGGTAATTGATAATTCAAAATTTATTAAAAATTTATTAAAATAAATGTAATATTTGATTCTGTGTGCTTAGTGCGAGTTTCTTAACGTTCTCGATAGCGTAAAAGTTAAGCCAATTTTGTATGCAGTTGGAACAGCGCCCCTAACGGCAAACGATCCCATTCCATACAAATATGGGCTAACTTTTACGCTATCGAGAACGTTAAAAAACTCGCACTAAGCAAACTGGAGCATCATCACATATGTTTTCGACTAAAGAATTCATAAACTTTACAGAAGAAATAGAAGTAGAAATTAAATGCGCAAATAAAGAAAATTTATTACAAAAGCTTTTGGATACATTAATAATACAGATTTTGGGAAATTCGAGAATGTTCTGTACCTATGACCAGGAATATCTAGAAACTTAATTTCAGTAAGCTGTTTAACAAACAATGGAGCCACCGCAATTTTCGAAAATGATAAAGTTATTATTAAAAAATTAGGAAAGATTATTTTAACTGGAATTAAAAATAAAATTGGTTTCTATGAAGTTCAGATAAGAGCTCAATTTAAGAAAGAAGTACATAATATAACTGAGAGCTGCAATTTGTGGCACCGTCGTTTTGGTCACGCTTCTGGAGTACAACGTCTTTCAAAATTTTTAAATGGGAGGAAAATTGAGGGAGATTTTTCGGACATTTTTTGTGAGATTTGTGTTGGGGCTAAAATGTGTAGACATCCGCTTGGAAAAGAAAGGATAGCAGCGAAATCTCCTTTAGAGACTGTCCATACTGATATTTGCGTTCCAATTGAATTACCCACTTGGGACAACCATAAATACTTTGTCACCTTTCTGGATGATTTTACTCATTGTTCGGCGGTTTATCTTTTATCGTGCAAAAGTGATGTGTTTGATAAAATAAAACAATTTATATTTTTGGCGGAGAATCATTTGCGGTTGAAAGGAAAAAAGATTAGGTATGATAATGGGACTGAATATTCGAAAAATAGCCTAAGATCGTGGTGTCAAAACAAAGGAATAGTCCTGGACTTAACTATTCCATACACACCGCAATTGAACGGTAAAGCAGAGCGACTGAACCGTACTCTTATGAAGAAAACGAGAGCCTTGCTGCTATTCGCTTTACTGCCTCGCATCGACGTCCAGTATGTTTAGGAAGCAGCTTGTCTCTCGACATAGGACTCCTCTAATGTCTTCCACAAGTTCCTGTCCTTTGACTTTCTCAGCCACTCTCCGCCAGCTATTCTTTTGAAATCATCTTCCCATCTTTGATTTTTTCTGCCTTTACTTCCATGGCCATCTCTTGGGTACCATTCTGTTACATTATTTGTCCACTTTTCTTGTCTCTCTTAACATATGTCCTGCCCATCTCCACTTTTGCATTTTATGAACTTTTATAACGCTTTCTAATTTTGTTATATTTTTTATGTATGTTAGTCTAATTTAATCTTTTCTCTTAATTCCAGTGATACTTCTTTCTATATTGTTCAAACATATGTTTATTTTATTTAATTATTTTTTTGTCAATGCCCATTTTTGTCATCCATAGGCCAGGCATGGTAGAATGCAAGTATTATATAACTTTCGTTTGTCTTTCATTGGCTTTGGTCTTTCATATCTTTATTTTTCATTATTTCACTAAGGGAGCAGAATATCTTTCAAGAATTGGCTATTCTCCGCTCAACTACATATTTTAAAATAAATTCTGGACTAAAAAAGCTTGATGATCGTTGCAAAAAGGGTATACTGGTTGGCTACGTAAGAAACTGTTATAAAATTTGGCTTGAAGACGAAAAGAAAATTATAAGAGCAAGAGATGTAAGAATTAATGAGGGTGAACAAGGATTTCAAGGTGGATACTTAGAAGATAATGAAATAATTAATGGACTTTGGAGTGATGAAAGGGAAGAACACTAATAGAATGAACACAAATGAAAATAATCGTGCAGAAGATGAAATCAGAGTGTTTGAGTGATAGCCCCTCACCTACAGAACCCAGTCCCCTCAAATTTAACCGTCCAACAGGTTATGGGCCCAGAACAAATTTAAAAGGTAATATTTATAATAGTTTCCTGATTAAAAGCCTACAACATAACCATGGAAACCAAATTGTTTATATCATAGATTATACACTTAATATATATGAGAGTTTATATAAAAATGTTCATAGCAACCAATATGTAATGGATCCAATTAAAATAAAACCATTCAAAAATAAAGAAAAGGTTGTAAAATTTGACTGGAAGACGAACAGAAAATTATCATATGAGCAAGAGATGGAAGGCGATAAAAATTAACATAATCGTGAAGATGAAATCAGAGTGTTTGAGTGATAGCCCCTCACCTACAGAACCTAGTCCCCTCAAATTTAAACGTCCAACAATTTCGTAGTACCTGTTTACTTGAAGCCAATTGTTATTTTTAGTAACTTCGCGAATGATAAAATCGTTTGTGGAAAAATAATACTACTGTACCTACGGATCAGATAGCGTGTTACTATGAATCCTATTTACTCAAAGCTGGTGAATAGAGTAAATAGATAAAAGGTTCAGTAATGGCCTTCGATTTCGGTTGTTTATAGAGGCGCGTCTCTAAATTATGGATGTACAGAATAGCGCAATGCCGCATTTTCGATGTGTTTATAAGCACAGGTGTAGTAGCTCATAACACAAACTTTTGTTTCGCTTTTTACATTAACAATTTTTAGTTTCAGCCCTTATTAAAAACAAGAATTAAAAAGTGTTAAGAATGATTAAATTTAAATTCTTTTTAATACTTCTGGACACTTGAAATACTTATCAATACTTTTTCTTATGAGAATTTAACATTGTACACAGTTATAAAGATTAACTTAACTCAAGAAAAAAAAATACAAAAGGGAAAACAATCAATTTTCTATTGACTAAAGAAAATTTTAGTATTCGTGGTTCAAGAATTTACTTTAGATATTCTTAAAATTATGAAAAATAAAAGCCATATCATGATACAATATATTTATAAATAAATTCATAAGTTATAATTTATAACTAAAACTTAATCTAATTAGATTAAATGAAATCAGAAAAAATTAGAAAAATGAGAAATTTCTCATAAAAGTAAAATTACCCGTGTGTATTACGAACTGAAAATAACAACAGTCTCCATTTCATTTATAATCTTAACGGCAATATCATTAAAAAACGTTTTCGAACGTTTAACATCCATAAGACGTTTTTACTGGTGGTAGGACCTCTTGTGAGTCCGCGCGGGTAGGTACCACCGCCCTGCCTATTTCTGCCGTGAAGCAGTAATGCGTTTCGGTTTGAAGGGTGGGGCAGCCGTTGTAACTATACTGAGATCTTAGAACTGATATCTCA